TAGGGAATGAACCATGTAAAATTAACCTAACCTTGGGCATAGAATGCACCCAGGTATTTTCTTATTTCTATAACATGACATAGTTCTGGAAAAACACCCTAGTTTTGTTTGCTATCCCGAGAATTTTAAAATTGGTCAGGTGAAAAATAATTTCTAGTTATAATATTAACAAATTGAAATAAAAATAACAGAACTTGAATGATTGCTTGTTTTTTGAATATCTTATTTTCATTGTCTTCTCATGTATTTTCAAGTGTTTTATATGGGAAATCAAATGATTATTAAGAATGTTGAGACCATGATAATTATTGATTCCAGATTTAAATATTTTGTGAAGCATGTGAAATATTTGGGTTTCATTAATAAGGATATATTTGTGACACTTCACATTCCTGGAACAAGCTAATAGTGTTGTCTTATGAGGACATTCCAGGAATTTATACCATCCTAAAATTGGCATTTGAAATATTTGAGCAGATTGCCACATGATTTTTCTAAAAATAAGGTAAAAATTCCAGATTTTACCCAAGGGTACTGTTATTGATGGATGTAGCAATTTTGGACAGACTTATTTAAATTGTAAACTATCAGAATGCCTAATATAAGTTAAAATTTAACTTTAGAATATTAGAAATTGGTACAGGCAAATACATGTAAATTAATTATCTTGATATTCTGGAATGATGAATCACATTATCTTGCATGCATGTTTAGCTCTGATGACAAGTGTTTCTCCATATGTGCATTCTAAGGTACTTTCCCAGTTGTATTTCAAAACCTTCATAAACTTTAATATGGAAACATAATGCATGCCATTATTTTAGCAACAGGGGGCTGAATAAATGTATTTCATACGGTTTATGTTTCTAATAAAATGTAATTTTGATTTAAATTAGCACTATCTTTTTTTTTTAGGCCTCCATTCCTTTGAAGGAATTGGAGCAGTTTAACTCAGATATACAAAAATTGCTTGAACCACTGGAGGCTGAAATTCAGCAGGGGGTGAATCTGAAAGAGGAAGACTTCAATAAAGATATGGTAAATTGGTTATGATGAAAGTGTGAATGAACTGGGAATGAAATTGAGTAAATATTTGGAAGAAAATTATATAACTTAATGTCTCTAACTGAATCCTCAGAATATCAACATTCACATAATGTTATTTTTAATGGTTAAATTAAATGGAAGGTAATCCTTTTGACATGTTATTGTAACTGCCAAATTACCACACTATGAACATATGAGAAAACTCTCAACTTCTAATAAATAGTTCAATTTTGCTTTTGCTTATTCCATTTTTAAATTCAGAAGGCAAAATGTAAAAGGAAATAGGACCTATTCAGGACATAAACTAAAATATAATAGAAAATTATATTCTTTCACATAGCTGATGCTTTTGGTA